AGGCTCGTTTACGCAGGCGATGCCGTTCTCTCGCAAATCGTAGTACATGTATTTCAACGTCTGTAGGCATTTTGTGAGGTTCTCGCTATTGATTTTAGGATCGAATACCGAAAGTTCTTCGGCGCACAGCCGCTCGGACGTTAATATGTGAAATCTCGCGCACTGCTCGACCAATTCGACAGTCTCTGTGCAGCACAATTACTGCTGGGCTAGCTCCTCATTCGATCCCAAAGAAAGTGATACCATTCCGCTAAATTCGTCTCGTTGTTTTCCCCCAAATCCGCAATCTCGTGCAACAGATAATTCATCGTCATTTTTAAGGACTTGACTGGTCTCAAATCGTGTGACATTGGCTCCTCCTGGTCGGCGGACGAACGAGAATACTGTTTAACTGCAGTCGAGTCGTTGATCTTGTAGTCACTGTCCTCCAGTTGCTCGAACGACGATATTTGCCGCTGAAATTCGCGCATATACCTTTCCTTCTCGGGGCACATGTCCTGACAAGTGCCTTTCGTGATCTTGGCGGTGGCCAAGTTCTTTTGCTTCTCGTGCTTCAACCTCATCAGTCGATCACGAGCATCGAGTATCTTTAATATAAAGATTGTTTTAATCAGTAGACGAATATGATTGACGCCTGAATTGTAAAAATAAGACAGATTAAGCGGTGAAGGTGGTCATTAATGATGGAGAGGAGGGAGTAAAATAAAATTAGATAATACGATAAGAATGCATGAGAAATGGCTCCCTTATAAAATATAATATAAATTGTTATTATAGATATTTGACCTTGTATTTTTCTTCCGACGTAGTGGCTGCTTGGCGAATTTGATTTTGCAATTCCTCGATCGATGCGCTGGATATTGTTTTTCTTTTTGGATCTATCGTTGGTACATCTATCTTAGACTGCAACTTCTCGGATGAAACTATGGGTTTGCTCGCTCTCATCGACGGTTTGGCAAGTCGCGGTACAATGTGTTTATGTGTTTCCTTATTGGCGACAACTTTTGCCTTTTTAACTTTGGCCTTCGCAGCTATGGTCAAGGCTCTCAAATTATGAGGATCCGGCAAGTTGTATTCCAAGCCTCGAAGAGCTTCCAGCTCCTCTTTCACATCATCATCCATATTTAAAATGCTCATAATTTTTCCTTTTGCCAAGTCCTTCTGTTTCGGTTTCAATAACATGTCAGAAGTTGTCCATTCTGTTTTGAATTTGTGATCACGATAGAAGCCTGACTTATTCAATGCCAGGGCTGCCGCATCTTTGGTAGTATAATACACTGTAATCATCTTACGTCTTGGTCGAACGGTTATTTTGAGAATCTCTCCAAATTGTTCAAAGTATCCTTTAGCTACTGATTTTACAAGGAGAGAGTCTGGAACGTCCGAACAAGTAATGGACTTAGAAAATTCTAATCTCCCTTCTTGTTTTTTCTTCAAGTTCTTTTCCAATTGGCCGTATGATGTGGTTTTCTTTATATCATTACATAAAATGGAAGGTTTGTTCTTAACTAGATTTCTTTTATTGGCCCAACTGGCTTCGTTCTCACTTTCAATAGCTGCAGGCTTTGCAAATGTGAAAAAGCTCGACGATTCGGCAAAATGCATCGATCTACTTCCAAATATATTGTCGGAGAAATTCTCGATACCAATTGATTTTTCTGGACTAGGAATGATATTTGGTGTTGAAAATATAAAGTCGGTGGTGGTTGCATCGATATTCGAATCGACGTCGACTAGCATATCGTTGTCCATTTTTTAAAATCTTTTCTAGAATAAGTAGCAGAATTATTGTGTGAATTTTAATGTAAATATCAATGATACATCCTTATATTATTACTTGTCTATTAAAATACATTTTAATTTATCATTTCATCATTTTGTAAATATTTCATTATATTTTATATAAATATAAATATAAATATAAATATAAATAAATCCCTAAAATTAAGATCCAGTACATTAATGTGAAAAATATCCGTAATTAAATGCCTTCGTTTATTCGTGTGAGTAATTAAAAACAGACGATTTACCATTATGTACGAATATAAAAATATTATACTTTATATTTTTATGTATAGAATGATTTGCTATTCTGTATGTAATGACTATTCTATCTTCACAATGCGATTTAAAATTGTATCTAACGGTACTTTAATCTAATTGTTAATGCCAATTAATAACAAGTTATTTTCAAAATATTATAATATATTTCCGACAATTAAAATATTTGAAAAAATCCAGATCGTCTTACAAGAGCTAAATAGAACGAACATTAAATTACATTATCGATGGAGGCTTATATTGAACTTTAAAACACTCACTTTTATTTAATTCTTTAAAAAAAAAATTTAACACTGATATCACATTTCGGTATCGCACATAACCTCTTAAAATTTAAGAAAATAACAAACTTGTATTGTGACGTCATATTCAACGAAGTTCATAAAACAACAAACAAATTAAATAATGCGATTAATTAATGAAATGGAATTGTTAATCAGGATAGAGAGTTTAAATTTAATTTAGTTATATATAAAAATTGCTTACAAATTTTGTTAATTAGTCTTTCGAGAATTATAATACTATAATACTCTGATATTAAAAGTTTTAACGCTATTACTTTTATATATGAAATTAAATGTACCATAGTTTTAAATAAAAATACAGTTATAATTGAAACTAAATATACTTTAATTATATAAAGTATAGCATAAGTTTTAGATTTTGCCCGCTTTTATCATTACTTTAATTTATTTAATTTTCAATCAATGGAATTTTATTAAATATATATATATATATATATATGCATATGTATATATATTTTACATTCATGAATATTTTTCTACCGTTAAAAGTTAATTATTATAGTGTGTCATTTGTATGTACGTGCATCTTTTTTAAAAGATCAACTTTATTTATATTTCTACAAATATCAAAACATATATATATATATATATTTATTCTAATAAATATTAATTTTTTTTTTATTTACTACATATTCTTTAAAGTGTCAAAACTTTATGGAATCATTTTTGAAAAACCATGTATTCCTATTTATCCAAAAGAAATAGATTTTCCTTTATTACCTTATATCATATATATATATATATATATATATATCTTTCCATATTTTTCTTTATCATTGACAAATATTTAATATATTTTTATACAAATGCAAATAAAATATAAATATGTAAAATATGTCACGTGCGCGTGCGAATATTTATAATAAAAATCACTGCCCATTTCCCTGATTTTGCAATTATGTATATCGAAAAATTAAAATTAAATAGACTCATTGCCTATTTATGTAGACTCAAGATGTTGAATTTCTTTGATTATGATGCGAAATCGCTATCATTTTCAATATTACCACTAAAAATTGAAAACTGCATGTACAGGACATGCAAGAGCTTAAAAGCTCTATTAAATATATTCTATTGAGAAACACTGATCGTTAATATACAAATAATTTATGTATGAATTTTTAATTCCAAGCTAATTCTAAATAAATTTCATCATTGAATACATTTCAAAATGCATCTTATAACTCAATATTTTGCTATAGCATAACAACTTTCAATATTAATTTATCATGTGTCTATATATAGCTATACGATTACGTGTAATTAGAATAAAATCTTCTTTTTTTCTCTCAGTAATATATAGTTTATTCATATATATATTTTTTCTATTAATATAATGTACGCATAGACGCTGGATAAATAGGAAGACGATGATGATTATAGAAAAAATGGATAAAAAGTTGTTTTTTTTTTTTTTTTTTATTCCTCGTGCTTTCGATAAAGTACGTCCAGGTCTCACTGTGCGTTAGATTTTTTTTTCTTCTTCTTATTTATGAATTTGCTCAAAGTCCTATTATTGTAATGTTGTAACGTAATGTCAGAACGTCGAGGCGAACGAAATACTCATCACTTGCGAAATCGTTCCTTTTGTAAAGCTCGCCGATTATTAATTTATTTACAAACAATGTCCCGAGCAAAAATCACAAACTCGTCATAGAATGCGTAAAGAGAGCAGCGGGATTAGGAATTTTCTTAACTCCCTTCTCTTGCAAAACACTAACTTTTAATCTTCGCAAAATACGCGACTCTCGTAACAATGGCCATTTCCGTATTAATAGACAAACGAAAGGAAATGTAAATTATGAAAAATCGAATGAATTAAAAAATGACATTAAATCGTTGGTGAAATTAGTTTTTAATAGAAGGTAAGGAAAATGCCGGTGCGAGTGTTTCATTGAACTTGTAATTTTTATCAATATCCGATGGCCATTTAAACTTTGTTCAATGAAATAATTTATCCTTATTTAAGAATCAAAAGAAAAAGAAAAAAATGAAAATTGTCACTAAAGTTTTTTAAAGCTGTAACAGTCACATTAAATCGCTAAATTCTCAATTATCCTTAAAATGATTCGCTGCCGTTGGCTCATGAGCATCCGATAGTAAGTACTTCATGTCGAATTCGAATGCTCGACATTTCTGACAAAAACATTCACAAGATGGATAAATAGAGACGACTGTTTTGCATATAAATGTCATTAGATCGCGCCAAACATACCGAATTTCAATACATTTCTTTTTCTCCCTACGTGTACAGCACACGCGCGCGCGCGCACCCACACGCACACGCGCACTCACACTCGCACGCATCCTTCGTATTCCCATTGGAAGTAGCGCGTAAATGATACGATCCAATCAATGTTTCATGTAATGCCAAGTCAAACCCGCAATCGTTGAAATTTCGAACACATGGTCGGTGCATAAAGTCTCTAACCAATAATTCCGTTAATGGCCCGTAATTTTTTGAAGATGGCAACGATTTAAATGTATAGTTTATAAATTTTATACGTGGACTAGATATTGTTTTATTTATTTAAAATGTATTAAGGGTGAGTGTATGCTTATTGATATTCGGCGTTAACAAAGTGTTGTAAATGATTATTTGTCTTTATTCATTTTCAGCTGTCTACACAAATACTGAATAAAAATATTGCCAATTTTTAGTGATAATTCTCTTTTTAACGTTGTATAACAATTATGAGGAATTTAATTGTAGAAACTCAAAGCACAACTGTGTTCGACGATCATGTACTTCTTCCGCGTTCACAATATCATTGCTGTCATGACTTTAATAAAAATATATTTTATTTAGTCGAGTGTCATGCAAATGTAATTCATATAATGGACGTTGCCAAAGAAATCTATTCCACTAAGAAAATAGCTCTTAAATTTGACCGTATAAATACTATTGGAGTAGAGTATTGTAGCAACAATGGGGATATATATGTTGGATACGATTCAGGGTTCGTGTATGAATTGAAAGAATTTGACGAGACATTGTTCGAAGCTGTCGAAGTGGCGGAATTTCCTACTGGATTACAATGCATGAAGATAAGTCCCGATAACGAAGTTATAGTTTTTGTTTCAAAAGACCTCGTGGTTACCGTTATAACATGTAGATTTTTTGATTGTGTCAATAGCGTAAGATTGGTTGATTATATGTGTGTTTGCGCGCTCGCTCGCGTTTATGACCATCGATAATTTTTATTTTGTGATTCTAGGCAAGTTTACTATGTACGGAATTTGGAGCAAAAGAATTTATAACAGTCGGTTGGGGCAAAAAAGAGACGCAGTTTCATGGTTCCATGGGTAAAGCGGCAGCTAAAGAGACGCCAGACGAGTTCAGAAAAAGCAATGCGGATAAAGGCGTACCTAAAATAACGTGGAATACAGCGAGTACGTTATTTGCGGTCAGTTTTGTCGATCCCAAAATTAATGCAAGAAGATTTAAGGTATTTGATAGGAAAGGAATTTTACAGTATACCAGCGAATTGGTAGATGGTCTCGAAGGAACTTTGTCATGGAAAACCGCTGACAATGTAATTGCCGCGACAAGGATATTACCCAACAAGCGTACGGTTGCACTTTTCAATAAAAATGGTCTTTTGCACAGAGAATTCGCTCTTCCCTTCGACTCGCAAACTGTCCAAGCAAGTATATTAAAATTAAAATTTTGTTTTTCCTAAGATAAAGATGAGAGAAATTTGTTCATTATATTCGTAGATTCTAGATTTAATTTGGTCAAGGGACTCTGATATTCTAGGAATTTGGTACAAGGACTTAATTACTAAATTGAATATTCTTCAATTATGGTCGCAAAGTAATTATCACTGGTATCTAAAACAGACTATTAAGTATCCAGAGAAATATCCTATATTGTACGTTGCTTGGCATTCCCAAATCGACAAGGATTTGTTAATATTGTCGCTGAAAAGTAGCACCGCTTATAGATTTTATTGGGCTATTTCGCAAAGCTGCGGCAAAACCGAATCTGACAAAGCTACGGTCTGTGTGATCGATGGTAACAATGTTAATAAAACGAAATTTAAGGAGTCCATGTATCCACCTCCAATGTGCCAAAGAAAGTACCAATTTAAAGTACCAGTCAATGCAGTGTTGTTCTCTCCAAATGGCTGGAATAACGAAGAAGATCCAAATGACTTTTTGGTGTTTTTGTCTAATAATAAAATCATAGTTTGTAAAAACGTAAGATAATATTTTACAATAAAAAGTATAAAATTGTATCAAAGTAATATTTTAACAAATAACTGTCATTTCAGAATGAGATGTTATCAGATGGCGAGGAACCTACTTACAAAACATATAATTTCTCATTATCGATAAAAAATGGATATCGGTATTCGTTCAGTTTAATGCAGCATTTATTTTGGTATAAAAAAAATGTTGTCTTATTTTCAATAACGTTAGGTACAAAGAGTACTTTGTACGAGTTACCTCTGTTGGATTTCAATGATTTAGATGTAATAGAATTAGAGTCAAGGTGAGTTTTTCAATGAGATTGTGATTAATTACAAATTATCAATAATAGATGCTATTGCAGCGAATGATTAAACAGGCGATACATTTCCATAATAATCGATAATTATAAATTATAAATCATACAGATCTAGGACCTTTCGAATCAAATACATAACTTTCAGAATTACGATCATTAATCGTTTTTTATATAAATATTTTAAGCCTACAATTACAAAATAATAATTGTGTTGAAGTTGTTGTCGTTGTTATTATTGTTTATAAATGTTTTGTATTGTTATACGCAAACTAATACGATGCATGTTCATACAGACGCATACAGGAAATGCCTGGTAAGATACAACACATCGTTGCGTCTTCGGATTCAAAAACAGCTTATGTAATTGTCGACAACAAAGTTTATCGTTACAACGACCGCGACGGGGTGGAAAAATCCGAGTTAACGATAAGTAAGAAAGCCTCGCACGTTGTGGCAAAAGTTGAATGTGCGAATTTCGGTGGGAAGGAGGTGATTATCGCATTGACACGGAATCACATACTGTACGTAGATGGAAATCAAATAACCAATAATGTTACGTCATTTTATCTGCACTCCGAGGCATTGTTTATCACTACACAGCAGCACACGTTAATTCACTTTGATTTGTCATTGAATGGCCTCGATCAATTGATGACAAAAGACTTGACCGTTCAGCCATGGGAACAGAAATCCAATGTACAAGGTTTGGTAATTTTATAATTGCAATAATGATGTAATTGAAGAATAAGTGAACGCAGATGTGAATTGTTATGGAGTTTGATATTGAAAATTTCGAATGTATATCGCATGGTCCGTGTATGCTTATTTATGTTACAACGATGGAATAACGTTCATAAGTGGATGGGAAAAAATTTTAATATACAATTATCTGATACTTCCTCTTAATGACTTAATGAATTATTCAATTAATGATAGAAATGATAAATTTGCACGCCTTGCACGTTGTCATGACGAAACTCTAATATCCAAGAGCTTGCACTTATTTCTCATACGAACGATTGTTTCATCCACGATGCATCGTCGCGACCCCCATCTCACTCCACTTTATTTTTCCCTCAGAACTAAATATAAGACGAGTGGAACGCGGCTCCGTCATAATAGCGGTCATAGCAAAAGGCGATAGAATGATTTTACAAATGCCCAGAGGCAATTTGGAAATCATTCAGCACCGCACTCTTACAATCTCCATAATCAAGCCACTTTTGGATCAACAGAATTATAAACAAGCCTTGGAGATCATGCGCAAGCAGCAAATTGATTACAATCTGTTTTACGATCACAATCCGCAATCCTTCCTTCACAACATTAAGAAATTCGCTGATGATTTGGACGCGCGCAATTTAACGATATTCTTAACGGATCTGAACGACGATGATGTTACGCGCACCATCTACAAGAGCAATTACGTTGATCGCACGACGACGAAAGCAGCGAGTTCGAGTAAAGTCGAATTGACATGCGAAATCTTAAGAGCGGCTATGGAGAAAAATCACGACAAATTGATCGAGGTAAGATGTCTGTTGTTATTCGTGTCATCATAAATTAATCCGATCGTTAACAATTTTTTAGAAAAAGCAACCTCGTGTTGCTGTTTTATAGTTTAATAGTTTGTCCTCTTGGTCCAATCGTAGAAACCGCAAACTTCGTTCGTTCATCCCTTCCTTTTCTTTCAATCACCAACACTATCGAAACAATTAATTCCATAAGTAACCAATGCACGTGAAAATCTTTACCTCGTTATCATCATCATCATCATCATCATCATCATCATCATCATCATCATCATCATCATCATCAATCATAATTTCGATGATATTTTTAAGAGCGACGGTTAAACGAGCCTAAAGGTTAATTAATCCATAGCAAACGCAATGCCTTCGCGCGCGTTGAGCTTCGCGACAATTACAGGGATAAAAGACGAGCTAAAGTACAATGGGACTTCTTTTTTTTGTTGAGCGCAGCCAATTATTGTAAGTCTGGTGAAGAAGGAGAGCGTGAAGGGTATCGAGGAAGCAATAATTAAGCTACAGCGACTGAGCGAATGCGCGATGTCGAGTAGCGCCGAGGAGAAATTGCGTCGTTTGACTTTTCTGGTAAAGAAAAGGAACCTCTTCGACATAGCTCTGGGCACCTACGATCTCAAGCTCGCGATGTTCGTCGCCGAGGCGACCCACACCCTCTCCCAGGAGAACGTGAACTTTCTGAACAGCTTCAAGATGCTCGAGCCCAATTACATGAAGTACAAGATCGACGTGCACCTGAAGCGCTACGAGTCGGCGCTTACGAACATCGCCAAGCTGCCAGAGAGGTTCGACGAGTGCAGGAAGCTCATACGCGAGCACGGACTGTACGCCCAAGGTCTCAAGCTCTTCGCCGAGACGAGATCGACACCCGAGTACGCGGATATCGCCACTATCTACGCCGAGGTGTTGGACGGGAAGGGCAAGCACAGAGAGGCCGGGATCCTCTACAGCAAGGCCAACGAGTTTACTAAGGCTCTCGTTGCTTTTAAAAAGGCCAATAGCTGGCAGGACGCCATCGCCACCGCGTTCAAGCTGAAATTAAGGTGATTATGGCGCTTTTCTTCGCGCTTTCTTACTTACCTCCGATATTCGTAAAGTCACACCTACTATTATAATAAACTATTCGTGCTTATTACGAGATTGGACCTAATTATGCTTAATGCCGACTTGTTTAAAACATTGTTGAAAACATTGTGAAAACATTGTTCTAGTGCGGCTGAATTGAAGGACTTGTATGTAGAATCGGTGGAACGACTGCAGAGAGACAATAAGTACAACGACGCCGCGATAATTCTGTCCAAGTACTTAAATAAATTTGAAGAGGCGGTGGCGATGCTATGCATGGGCAAGGAATGGCTTCGGGCGTGGAACGAGGTTTGCTGCAACGATCGACTGGATTTGATCGGTAACGCCGTTACCCACCTCCCCCAACCTTACCTCGCGTCAAATTTAACAGCCTCTATCGTTACGTAAAATTTTCATGGCCATTATGACCGCTACTATCATTCGACGTACGGCCATTGATCGTGGACGGACTACTTTAGCAAATATCGCTCGTCTAGCGAAGGAAGAAGACATTCGAGTCCGCGTGGCCTAATCCATGATTACATCGGCTATATATTAATTATACAATATTTACGTACGCTACACGCGCGCGCGCGCGCGCGCAAAACGTATATATTTAGTATAAACGTAAAACCATTTTTGTTCAGGTATTCTTAGGTAGGATTTTTGTGGTACGGCAATTGAATATGTTGCGTTACAATCGCGCACCAAATCTTTTAATAATAAAGGGCCCTGGCAATAACGGGACTTGAACTGCGGAATTTTTCTCATTCTCGCAGGTAGATTTGATTGTAGGAGCCAATCGAGTATGGACTTGCGTGAGCGAACCTACGCACGTACAAAGGTACAATCATAAATAACGTAAGACTAGTCGAGACCTGTAATGACGGCAAAATGAGGTAAATACCCCGGGTCGAGAGGTCTAGGAGTATGATAGGATAGCGCGCGATACCTTATGAAAATCATCGTCTTACTTACTCCAGTCAATCGTAAACTCTAATAATGGTAGAGTCTGTGTGCCGAGCTAAGGTAATCCAACGATTATACGTCTAATAAATATTTTGCCGTTGGGAAAATTTGACGAAACAGTTAGTTTAGCTTGGACGGTCGATAAATCTCTCTCTCTCTCTCTCTCTCTCTCTCTTTTTCACTCTCTTCGATCGAGAATTGATTTTCAACGCGTTTGAGCAATATTTTCAGCCAAATGTTTCATTGTCTGCCCCTTTTATCCAGTCCAGTTTCGGTCCGCTACCCTCTTTAAGGGATAAGCGCAATAATGATTACGAATTTTATGAAAGCACGCCAACAAAGTTATAATAAAGGACTTGGCAACAGGAATTTCAATTTAATGATCGTTGCGACTCTTTTTAATAAACGATTTAACGCGCATCAATTAGTCCATTCTGACCACCCCGTGACACAATAATAATCACTAACAAATATCACGAGCTTTAAAATAATTACCAATTAAAGTAAAGTAAAGATTTTTTATTATTATTTTTATTTATTTATTTATTTTTTTTTTTTTCGATGAAGAGGGCGTATACATAATCCGTTACCCGACGCGTAATAAACAACTGGGTGCTCAATATCCACGGTGATAAGCGATCGAGTTTTGCTTCACGAACAACTGTATTAACTCTCACGACTCACGTCAAATCTCATATCCCGTCGTCCTCAGAGTCACGCGTGAGACCCTCGGTCATCGATCACGCTGAATTCCTCCTGGGGCACTTACGCCACTGCAGGGAGAACTTTGGGGAACACGCGAGCCGCTTGGTGTTGGTGCGCCCGGAGCTGTTGAAACGTCGCGAGACCCTGGCGGAGCTCGGAAGTCTCGTGATCGGGGAACCTGGCGAGGCTATGGCCGGGGGCTGCGGTACCGAGAGCATCGCCGATTCGATAGACACGAGGACTTCGCGGGCCTCGAGATCGACGTATCGCACCTATCGCTCGAGCAAGAACCGCAGGAAACACGAGAGGAAGATGTTTAGTACGAAGAAGGGCAGCCTATACGAGGACTTTGGCCTCGTGCTCGCGCTCCACCAGCTCGTCACCCAGGCCTACGAACAAAGGGGTGAGTGCAATTTCCCCGTTAGTCTATTCTCGTCTTCCCGGCGATATTCGCTATTGTAGCCGAGCTGACGAAAAAAGAAAGTAAAAGTACAGGATTACCGATAATTTTACCGTCGCAATATCATCTAGAATATGTGTTTAAGGGCTTTGGATTTCCTGGAGACCCGAGAATTTAATTTAATTTAGGTATACGAGTTGCAGGGATGCGTTAGGTGGATGATGATACTAGGCCGCGGGCAAGCGGATGGGCGAAGGGTGATGAAAAGAGAGAAATGTAAATATTATCTAAAGTAAATGTAAGTGAGTCGGGATTTTTGTTCTTCAAGCGGTGCTCTTTGTTAATAAGAAGAAATGGTCGAGAGGACCGTCAGCTTTATTACGAGCTCCGAGTGTAAACAGTTATTTGGAAAGTTAAATATTTCGTTCGAGACGACAGATTGAAAAGATTCATTAAACAATTAGTCGGGACGCTATTAAATCATGGCCGAAATTATTTTTTGATTTTTAGATGATGTTCGAACAGTTGCCGAAGTGCTATTGTATATAAATAGCGATAAATTAGCCGAGGACTTGCAGAAGGAAATGAATGTATTTTTAGCTGAAATAAGTAAACAGAAACATGTAATTTGGCCGCCGATTCGCGAGAATACCAATTTCAGGGCCAATTTTGTCGAAGATCTTGGAGATGAGAAGCAAATGTGGACAGGTAAATATTGTCTTGAAAATTTAGAGGACGTTCTTTCTTCCTATATATTTAAAAGAAATTTTTTTTTTTTTTTTCAGAGCCCCATTTATTATTTGCACCTGTGGAAAAGCCAAGCGATTGGAAATTGGACATATTTTCACTTTCTTAGGAATAAATGTCTTGTGCCATTCTGTTAATACATACTTACATATATATATATATATATATATACACACACACACACACACATATATATATATATATTACATATATTATATATATATATTCTTTATATATATTCAATATTGGCCGCAAGTTGGCGTTCCTGCTGGATTACCGCAGATGAGCCGAAATGCCCGTCGAATGTACGAGTACAACACACGCAAGTATAAGGACCAGCCAATTCCATCGAGCTGGGCTGATGATGTTGAACCGCAACCCCGCGTTGGAATACCACGCAACCAGAGCCCCCGCGCGCAGCGCAGATCACAAAACTGGAAGACCAGGAAGGGGGTTAAGATCGGAGAGAAGAAGAGTGTGCCCGCAAGCGAGATCTCCGACCCCGCTGAGTACACTCCAAAGGTTTTCAAAGCCAAGAGTGAGAAGTTAATGGATGAACCTCTCTGGCAAGAAGGACCTGTTCAGGGCACTCATCCAGTCATTAGAATCTATGCCCAGAATATGGATATGTCAACCTTCCCTCTCCTGCTGGAAAGGGTATACCTTGATCTTGAAGCGGAAAACCCCAGGATCAGGAGAGAAATGCCGTTCTGCATGTTCCAGCACGCTTGTACTAGTGTGTTGAATATCGCTATGATTGACCATCTGAAGACCATCAACGCGGAAGACCGCTATTCAGATGAAGAATCACCGATGAATTTTATTCCGGATGATTTTCATTTACCTGCACCCATAGCCGAATTTATTAAGAACATCGCTAACACTACTAAACAGATTGCGGAGTAGTAGTGTTAGCGATGTTCTTAATAAATTCGGTTATGGGTGCAGGTAAATGAAAATCATCCGGAATAAAATTCATCGGTGATTCTTCATCTGAATAGCGGTCTTCCGCGTTGATGGTCTTCAGATGGTCAATCATAGCGATATTCAACACACTAGTACAAGCGTGCTGGAACATGCAGAACGGCATTTCTCTCCTGATCCTGGGGTTTTCCGCTTCAAGATCAAGGTATACCCTTTCCAGCAGGAGAGGGAAGGTTGACATATCCATATTCTGGGCATAGATTCTAATGACTGGATGAGTGCCCTGAACAGGTCCTTCTTGCCAGAGAGGTTCATCCATTAACTTCTCACTCTTGGCTTTGAAAACCTTTGGAGTGTACTCAGCGGGGTCGGAGATCTCGCTTGCGGGCACACTCTTCTTCTCTCCGATCTTAACCCCCTTCCTGGTCTTCCAGTTTTGTGATCTGCGCTGCGCGCGGGGGCTCTGGTTGCGTGGTATTCCAACGCGGGGTTGCGGTTCAACATCATCAGCCCAGCTCGATGGAATTGGCTGGTCCTTATACTTGCGTGTGTTGTACTCGTACATTCGACGGGCATTTCGGCTCATCTGCGGTAATCCAGCAGGAACGCCAACTTGCGGCCAATATTGAATATATATAAAGAATATATATATATAATATATGTAATATATATATATATATGTGCGTGTGTGTGTGTGTGTATATATATATATATATTAAGAACTTCAATTTTTATCATATTTTGTACGAAAAATTTATATACATGAAACTATCGATATTATAATGTAATTATTACTATCATTAAATGATGATGTATTTGTAAAATTTTAGGGACTAAAAGTAATAGTTTTGCCACAATAAAAAAAAAATGTAAAAGAAAATAGCTTTAACGTTTACGCTTTTATTTACAACATAAGATATTTTACACAAAACTATTAGACGGTTTTCACACACTTTAACGTGTTCGTTCATTCATTTTCATATAATTAATTGAAAGTTCAAACTATACAAAATTAGTGCTTTTATATAAAACTAAACTGTAAGTGAGAATGAATTTTGTCAAGATCAATTTTTCGAATCACAATTTATTGTATTGCGAAAATAAAATATATTTTGCTTCCGCAAAAAGTTTCGTTTGAAACCATTTCGGTCTTCTAACTACATTAAATTAATTTTTTTTAATGTTTTTGTTTTGTATAATGAACATGCACTTTAAAAATATTTCATTAAAAAAATTAGTGTAATCGCATAACAAATATTTTTATCAAAATATTTTCCCTAATGCATACATTGCGTGAATAATAAATGTGTATTGTGATAAAAGCAATTATTAGTAGTGCCTTCGTACAAAAATCTTCGTAATTACCATTGTATTCTGATTAAAAATATCTGACTATACTAAATAAAATTATCACTAAATTTATAGTAAAAGTGGATACAAATATTAAATTATCACGTAAAAATGTTTTATCAAGCATTTTGACAATTAGAAAAAAGTGACGTTCAATAGTCATTTTCTCATTTAGATAGCGATTAAAAATATATTGATGCACTATGGAATGAATTTATTAACAAAACAGCCATACGCGTAAGATAATTTGATTACCGAAATTTCACCGAATCGCATTTATAATATATATATATATATCGATATTCATCTTATTTATGTATATTATTTATCAAAACATTAAACTGCAATATAGTTTAACAATAAAAAAAAAACAAAAATGCATAGAAAGGCTTTTTAAATTCTTTTAAAAATACAATAATAAACGCACTTATGGCTGCCTTAAGATAATCCCGAATTTGATATTTTGATGATTTTTAAAAAATCACTTTTTTATATATGGAAAAAAAAAATCATGAATAATAGATCTTTCTCTACAATTTTGGCACAAAGAAGAGTATCGATGGGATTAAGAGGAGCTGTTAAAAAAGATTTTGTTTTTGTAATGCTGCCAAAAGGACATTAACAAAGTCACTCGATAGATCCTTATGCATCGCTACTATGTATACACTTCATTGTACTATATTACAAAAAGATTCATTAATTCTTGTGATTCACCAAGGCGACCAAAGTCGGAGACTTCAATTCCGGGCGCAGACTAATTTTCATATGCTTGGAATTTGTGTACTTCCTCCGCGCGGCTTGATACTTGCTCTTCTCCGCATTTACCATTATTGCAGAAATCTCCTGCACCACAGGCAATACATCCTTCGTCCTGTACGTACTGTAGTGCACCAGAGTTTTTGTCCAAATAACATCGCCTTCCTGGAGATTATCATTCCCCAGCAGACTGTAATATCATTCAATTTTAATTTTTAACGTCCATTGCAGTGTGTAAGCGATATAACTTGGTGGGAAGTAAAATTTTGAAATATTTTAACAACATCTTACTCGATACAAAATTTCATTATATTTATTTCAATTAATTATTGCTCTCGATAGTTTAAAGCACAACTTTCCCTCTTCATTCACGGTATTTTTTTATTTAATATTACTATTAATACTTTATATTAATCTACATAGTTTTACATCAAACTGCTTTGTTCCATTACAAAATGCCTTATTTTGTATAAATGAGTAAACGTATAAATAAATTTGAACAGAGAGTTTGAAAGAAAGTTATATATGCATATATGTATATATATATAATAGAATATATAATGGAAATAGATACAGCGATTGCCTATTTTATATAAAGTAAGAGTATTAGACTATTAGATTGGAATGAAATTTTTGGAGTTTATAAAAAAACATAGGAATTATTTCTGTATTATTATCTATTCAAAGTATTATAATAAACTATAAGAATTTTTAGATACTTTACGAGATTGCCCTGCAGAATATTTATTAGTCAATTAAGTCGATAAGGGAATAAAAACAAAAACTTACAGGAAGGAAAGATAAATTGCACCAGCTGCTATCAAGCTAGGTGGATGGTGACAGACTTCGTAATGTACTAAGCATTGTTCTAGGAAGTATTTTGCCAGCGTGTGATGAACTGGCAGAGCCTGAATAAATGATAAAATAATTTACACATTGTCTCTACGTAATTTGTAACAATGAATGATTCGTTATCTTTAGTGGAGGAGGATGTGTGTGTGTGGGGGGGGGGGAGTCGATTTACCTTTCCAGCTTTGCTGTATCTCCGAAGAAAGTGCAATGGCAATGGTTTTCCAAACGAAAACTCAAGGGTTTTTATTATAATCATTTCCATCTGCAAAATTTCTGATTTTGTGTAAGCATTATCTGTAATGTACACAAAGTCACTAATGTCCGGAGAATACATTTCTTCGTATTTGCTGGCTATAAACATAGCCGTTACACCTACTAATTGTAGCCTTTTGCGAGTGATTAATCTAAAGTCCTGTAATATTAACGTTTATATTATAATTGTGCTCGCATAAGTAAATCCAAAGCCAATGGAGTAAGTAAAAGTACCTGCAGAAAGCGATCAATAATGGCAATTGTCATATACAATGTCTCTTGCATTAGATGAAATTGTTCATGGACTTCGATCAGCCAATCAACAAGTACACACCTCATTTTAGGGGTGACCTCTTGCCCTTGTAAGTATCCTTTTTTCACAGGAAACTGCATCTCCAAGTCTCGCAGATGCGCATAAATGTCGTTACTATATACAGAAACGAGGATGGGGTTTTTTCTATCCTCTTCGTCAATGTCCTCGATTGTTATTAAATCCGAGGAAAAGGAATCCGCCTCTTTCTTCACTTCGTTCGAAGTTTCGGTTTCTTTCTTATTCGCATTACTATCAGTCTCATTTTTATTTGCCTCCGGCAATGGGCGATTATCAACTTGTATCTCAGCTTTCACAACTGGTTTTATTATTTGCACTTGTACTTTGTGAACGACTTTCTCGAGTTTATCAACCTTCACCTGTGTCTGTTTCGATAATACTGGCTTCTTCTGCAAAACTTTGTCCTTTGCCGTTTGACTAGTTTTACCTGTCAATTCGTTGGCCCTATTAACGATAACTCTATTACCTATTTCACCTAGGGCAGCTCTTCGCGTTTGCCCCGAGACTATTGCCATGGATTTCACATTCTTCACATTCTCCTGATTAGCAACATTCTGAAAGCAGACGATATGGAGTTAAAATTAAATGATAATATGGATCTAATGTTTGGCAGGTTTTTTTGGCTTTTTGTTTTTTACCGTTGCTTCATGAACGGCGAAAACTTATATAGAAAATCGGATCATTGGGCCTCATATATTACCTCCAAGAGTCTTATGGGGGAAGGGCAAGCGCATTTTTTTCTACCTGTATTAATTCTTTCGAATTAACAATTTCCTTTCAAAACATTTCCCTGAATTAAGGATTAATCGCCCGAGCAACGTCCTCATCAAATGCTACGTAAGTAGAACGATTACTTTGCCACTCACTTACTCCTTTTTAATCGTTCGGCCTTTTTAATATAGTTTAGCGATTGATTTATTTTTTTAAATTATATGTGTTACCTTTATTCTCCCAATCGCCAATGATTTTTAATAATTTCAGCAATTATAATTAAGTAACGGAAAAACAATGTTCGATTATTATTATATCCGATATAAAATAGCGGCTATCGCTTGTTTAATATTCTTTGTAAACAATTCCAGGTAATATTATTCATATTTACTGTTACACTTATGATTTTAGTAGTATTATTTTATATTCTTATTAAAATATACAGAAGACAATGGTTGTCTTCTTTAATTTTCGACTATCGCCTTAATTAAAAATACTTTAATGCAATAAATTTAAAAAAAAAAAAAAAAAAAAAAAAAAAAAAAAAAAAAAAAAAAAAAAAAATTAAAAAAAAAAAAAAAAAAAAAAAAAAAAAAAAAAAAAAAAAAACAATAAATGATTAAACGAAAATAAAATAAAAATTGAAAAAAAAAAAAAATAATAATAGCATCATACTATTATGCATTTCACAAATAAATATATTTTATATGGAATTGATTACAATAAATATATCGATATACATATATATTCGTACACGTGTTCCTGTAAATGCGCGCACAGGCATGCATTGGCGTATACATATGTATGTACATTTAAAATGGTAAAGGCCAGAATAAATAAATATAAGCCGAAGCCGAAGAAAATAAAACAAGCAAATTAGTTTGAGATCACTTAAGATATCGCGTCGCTTTCGTGCACGGCAATGTGAAAAGTTGAGCACTGTAGATAAAGAAAGCTGCTGCGAGGTCCTATCAATCGAGACTGACTATTGCTTCCTTACCTCGGGGGCTCATCGACTATTAGACGTAACAAAATTATTAAAACCAACATTAGCCCGCATATCCATCCAAACGAATATTTAACAATACGGTGCCACGACAATAGTATTTATCCTGCGACGTAAGCGAGGGTAAGCGATGATTTTTGTTGTAAACAAATTAGTCGACTCAATAAGAAATTGGAGTGCATAGGGCGTAAGTTATTATATTGTTTTAACGGGGGTATAGGAACCGGTAGATGCGATGCCGTTGGCGTCGTGACAAATGTAAACAAGACAACCGTTTGCGTATGCATTGACGGAAGGAAAAAAAAAAAGAAGGGAAAAAAAAAAAAATAGCCTCCTCCAGCATTAGAGCCGAAAAGTCACTCTGGCTCCTCGCCGTGCTCTATCAAGATCACGATATCCACGACAATCCATCACAAGCAGCCCATTCACAACATGCTAAGCTTTATTATTAATTGACCGATGCGGTGTTTCGGCTTAAAGGAGACTCGCGCGTATGGGTAATCGCCGTAAGACCCGTGCGAAACTCGGCGGTTGCCCGCACGCACGCGATTTGGAAATAATCGCAATTAAACGTAAACTTAAAGGCTAATTGATGGGATGGATGGGATGGAAGGGATGGAAGGAATGGAAGGAATGGAAGGGTTGAAGGGTGAAGGTGGTGGAGGCGGCGGAGGAGGAGGAGGAGGAGGAGGAAGAGGAGGAAGAGGTGATGGTGGA